GACATGCCCTAACGGACGAAAAGCACAACTAAGCAACCGTGACGTAACGATGATTAATCCGTTCGAAACACTGCATAACCGTCGCTTGATATTTCGGAATCCCTGACATCCGGCGCCCGCGAGGTGTCAGCGATTTCTAAGAGATCGGCTTTGTTTGATATAACCCAGTCTCTCAGTTCATCCCTTTAGCTTAGTATCCCTCGGACGTTGGTCAAGGCTAACACAGCGTGGTTAGCTCGTCATTCATGCCTCAACCTGATTCCCTCGTCGACAGTTAAATAGCCCGGTTAAAGGTAGCCAACGCAACTGAGGGTGCTTCCGATGCACCCGAGTTTCACGTATACAAACAGCAGTCTCATCTTGCGCACGGCGTTCGTGAGTTCCTTCAATACGGCTTTGAGTTTACTGTTCTGTCATATCATGATTATGAAGGAACATTACCGCAGCTCCCTTTAGCTTATAGATTCACTGGAGTGGCGCCTTGGCTTCCGTCTCTACCAGAAGAACCACTTTCAGTGGTCGCGGAGAGTTATCAAGGCGAACTTTTCCAAGCCTCAAGGCCGCTCTTATCCGGTCATGGTCCAATCTGTCCTGAGCCGTGGTGGCCTCGGCCTCCAGAAGATTGACGACTATGACGCATTGTGAACGCAAATGAACCTTCATCTGCTGCATAGCCTCTTGGGAAATGCGAGGGCACTTCTCAGTTGGCCGCGACAGGTTACCTGTATTCTGCCGGGTGCGTGGACGAGGAGGTGATGGATTCCGTTTGTGGGACCAGCGCAACAGATGATAGCACCTTTAACACGAGATCCATGGATGGAACGGATCTCCGAAGGGGCAGTCATTCCACAGTTATGGCAACACTTGTGCATACAAAATAGTCTCGCCCCCACCCCACATGCCAAGTGACTAATTTCACACGTTTTGACCTAAAGGTCAAACCAATTTCACTCGCCCCAACCACCTGTTGAANNCACGCATGCTCGAACCGCATCCGAGTTCTATACGATGCCATCATCCCATCGCCTTATAATTGCTGGTAACGTG